GCTATTTGGGTTTTTAGTTTTCTTTTGAGGTATTTGAGTCTTTCTTATGATAGAAATTGAAAGGTAGAATTAGAACTTTTTTAAAGATGAAGGGCTAGAATTTAATATCAATTAGAGTGTAAGGATCGAGATTGTTCTGGCATGGTGAAGTGTGCGACTGTAAAAGGACAACAATGCGCAACAATGAGGTGTCGCCGTGCGCGGCAGCAAGAAGCAGAAGAAGAGAGAGCTAGCGTGGCGGTAAGAGATCGACAAAGAGAAGAAGACAGCCGTCGTGCGTGTAAGTTTTACAGTTGTGCGTGAAGAAGGTAGCCGCCGTGCACGAAGATGATAGCCACCGTGCATGTAAGCTTTACTGCTGTGCGATAAGAAGATAGTCATCGTGCATGTAAGCGTTACTGCCATAAGTGAAGAAGATAGCCACGGTATGTGTAAGTTTTATTGTCGTGCGTGAAGAACGCAGCCGCTGTGAGGGTTATGTCATGAGTACCTTGTGGTGCATGTAAGCCATTTGTATGCCTTTTGTCAGCCACTTGGATGCCACTTGTAGCTCCTGTTTCCCACTTGTGAGCCCTTGCTTGCCATCTACCCCTATTTGCTTATAAATGAGCCCCTTCACAAACCACCAAGAGCTTTAGCCCTCTCTCACTCCCACGTCCCCCCTTCTCACTTAGAAGCTCTACCTCTAGAAGCCTTTGTTGGGAGCTTGGAAAACTTGACCTGTGTGGGGGATTTTGGGACACATTTGAGCACATGTTAGTGGATCTTTGATTAAAGCATGAAAAATTTGGCAAAGTATAAGTGTGTTTTTGATAGGAATATGGTTGCATGCTAGTGAAATTGTGTTGTTTGTGCAGTATTATTACATAATTGTTGTCCTCATTGGCTTGATGAATTTAGTACTGAAAACAAATATGTGAAAGAGAACCCTGTATGTCTAAATTAAGATGAAAAAGGTTTTGTATTAATATCCATTTTAGTTTAGAAGTTATTGATCATTCTACGCAAGACCGTCTCACTTCGAGTTCCTTCTTAGTCAAATCTGATGATACACCTCAGCAAAGATAATAGGGAGGTTCCCCGCGCCTTACTTCTGCTGCCATAGCTGAAGATGTGCCAAAACTTTGTTGTGAATTTCCAAGGACCATGTATGTTTTTTTAATGTACTTTTGACTAACCAAATGGAGTCCAAATGATTTCAAACTACTTTTAAATAAAGTATGGATATGTCTACTTCAAATTTTATTATGAAATCATGTCTAAATTCCTCATAGTTGGAAAGTTTTTCCTCTGTTTGTATAGACATGTCATTGTTTTCTGTTGCAGCAGTTTTCAGGACTGTTGCTCATTTTGTATGGAACTTTTGACTGACCAAATGGTGTCCAATTACTTAAAACCATTCTTAAATAAAATATGGATGTGTCTACTTCAAATTTGGTTTTAAAACCATGTCGAAATTCCTCATAGTTTGGAACTTATGCCTCAGTTTGTATAGATACGTCATTGTTTTCTGTTGCAACAGTTTCTAGGATTGTTGCTCATTTTGTACTGAAATTTTGACTAACGAAATGGTGTCCAAATGACTTCAAACCATTTTAAATGAAAGATGGGTATGTCTACTCAATGTTGGACTTTGTAACCATGTTGAAATTCTTGATAATGTGAGAATTATGCCTCTAATTGCATGTGTATGTCATTGTTGTGAGTTGTAGTGGAATTCTAGAATTTTTATGTGTTTTATGAAAGAGTATTCATTGACTAATATGTCTTTGATTTAGGATAAACCACTTCAAAATGAAAAGCTGGTGAGTTTATTTTGGACCCATGACTAAAATCCCCATGGAATGGAAGTTAGGCCAAATTTTCTATGAGGCCTTCTTACTGAAAATCCTGTTATGTTATGGATTATTGAATATGCATGCTTAAGATATAGTGAATGCTCATGAATTCTTGAATAGTTGTAATAAGACATGCTTGGGCATGAATGAATGCTTATGAGATATGCATGTGCCTAGTTGTGATTAGATATGATAAGTTTGTGATATAAACCACTACGCAATGGGACATCCATTGGTAGTGGGGATCTAATATGGTAAGACTGAGATCTGAAGCATTACACAATGGGACATCCATTGGTAGTATGACATGATATTTTGAGATTAATGAATAAGGCACTGCGTAACGGGTCATTCGTTGGTAGTATAATATGTTATGATATGATAAGAATGTTAGGCTAGCAGTTAAGATCTTCCCCTGACTCGCAATGATAGGAAGGGAGTTAGGATATGAATATGAATGATTGGGAGGGTCACGCCCCCCAAATCTTTATGGGCACTACGCATTGGGTCACCCATTGGTAGTGTAACGCTCTTTTATCGGAATGGCATAAAGAGAGGGTCTTGTCTTGCAAGGCCACAACCTATCAAAAGCCCCAAAGCGCATTGGGGAGTGTGTACGTGAAGACATTACGAAATGGGTCATCCATTTGTCATTGTCTTCCCTGTTGAGTTTGAGTAGAAGTTCTAAGGAACAAAATTGGCTTGACTTCTATTTCGGGAGTAGGCGACACTAGGATTGCTTGTATGCGCTATGTGTTTGGCTTACATTGCTAATATGTTATTTTAATGAAAAGATGTGATAGACTATTAGCTCATGCAATGTATAATATTCTGATATCTTATTTATACTTCTGCCACCATTGTTAAAGAACTTTGATATATGACTCCCTATTGTGACACTTGCACGAATTCTAAAGGGGACGATTACGAATGACATTGCATAGGCAAGAATAATACATGATGTTTGATCTGCTTATTGGGCTTTATAGCTCATCCCTTTGTCTTTCTCTGTGTATAGTAACAACCTACGGTTTTTGAGAGCGGGCGGTTAGGCACTCGTGGCTGGCGGTTGAAGTTTCAAGTTTAGCAAGAAAGGCCTTATCATGATAGTAGGTGTCTGTTGGTGGTGGCCATGTAGTTGTTTTTTTTAAAGAATTGTATTTTGTGGTTGGGCCTATAGTGCATTGGACATGATTGTAATTAAATTTTTGGAACTTGTATATTTATAAGTTGGTTTTTATTGTTGTCCAGTTCTTGTACCTTTGTGTTGGTTTTTGCTTTATTTTGTGGTTTACCTTGATTCCGCCTTCTAAAGAGCGTTGAACGCACTGCCACCTAAGTGGCATTCGCTACCTCTGGTTATGGTCCTGCACTCTGTCGCCCTCTGGCTTATACGGTAGGGGTCAGGGGGCGGGGTTGTGACAATTATGATGTCAGAGCAGCCAGGATAGGATTCTTGGCCTAGAGAGTCTTAGAAGTGTTGTTAGGGTGGTCTTGAACAACCTGGTGACTGAGTGTTCCTATTTTTGGTCGGAGGACTCAAGTCAACAATGAAAGTTTTAACAATGAGAATACTAAGGCCCTCGAGGAATTTTTCAAGACTTTAGGGGCCATGACTCAAATAATGAAAGACCATATGCCGACCTGAGCTACTCTTGCCGCAGATCAGGTTGATAGTGGTTTAATTGAGGCATTTAGGAGGCTGGCACCTTCGACATTCTTGGGGCATGGAGGAGTGGAGAAAGCTGAGCGATGGAGAAGATAAGTGGAAAAGATATTTGAGGTATTACACTGTTCTGACGAGCAAAAGGTTAGACTGGGGACTTTCATGTTGGAAGGGGATGCAGAACACTGGTGGGGAACAGTGAAGCAATCCCTGGAGGAGTCAGGGACCATGGTGACTTGGGAAAATTTTCTAAAGGCTTTTGATGAGAAATATTTCTCTGACTCAGTCTGAGAGAGAATAGAAGTGGAGTTCATTAAGCTGCAGCAAAGGAGATTATCAGTGAAACAGTATGTAGAAAAATTTGTAGAGCTCTCCCGTTACGGGCCTCACATTATCAATACAAAGGCGTGAAAGGCGAACAAGTTTGAGAGGGGACTCAGAAGAGGAAGAGTAATTTCAGCCAACCTCAAGACCTTCTCCCCCTTAGTGGACCTTGCTATGAAGATCGAGAGAGATTGTGAATAGTTCTGGTTGAGGAAAGAAGGGAAAGTGGGGGACTGTGCTATCTAGGAATTTTAGGAGGAAGGTTGGACCACCTCCTTGGAGAGAGTTTAGGGGAAGGAACCCTTAGGGCAATACAAAAATTCAAAAGACCTTCCCCGGTGATGTGAGGGATAATCGGCACCCGGTCTACTCTTATTTTGGTTTGAGTAACCATTCTGCGGCCAAGTGCTATAAGAAGGTGAAATCATGTTTTTGTTGTGGCAAGCTCGGCCACCTGATCAAGGACTATCGAGTAAAGGGGTCAAAGAACCGAGCAAGGACTCAAGGTCGGCTGTTTGCGCTTACGGAGCACGAAGCCAAGGCGTCTACCTCTATAATCCGAGGTATGCTCTTTGTCTGTGGTATGGAAACTAGAATCTTAATTGACCTTGGATCTTCTCATTCTTTCGTTGCACCTCACTTTGCGTGCCACATAAATGTTAGGCCTTCACTTCTTGACTGGACTTTGGCAGTAGCACACATATGGGGGATTTTATAGCACTAATATGGTAAATAAATAATGTGGGGCTTTTTTTGAAGGGTGTGTCCTGCCTATAGACTTGATACTTTTAAATATTCAGGATTTTGAAATAATTTTGGACATGGACTAGTTGTCCACACATCATGCTACAGTTAATTGTTATGATAAAACTGTGACCTTTAGATGCCCAAACCAGCATGAGTTGCACTTTGTTGGTATTAAGGATGCTTCCTCTTTACATCTTATCTCTGTCGTTCAGGCTTCCCGTCTTTTGGCTAAGAGATGTATTGGATATCTAGCCTATGTAGTAGAGAATCAGAATGTCCAGTCCAAGTTAGAAGAGATACTAGTGATAAGAGAATACCCATAAGTTGTTCCTGAGGAGTTGACCTCTTTGCCTCCAGTCAAAGAGATAAAGTTCGAAATAGACGTGGTCCCTGATACTACTCCCATCTCCAAAGCCCCTTATAGGATGACCCCAGCCGAATTAAATGAGCTGAAAGAGCAATTGCAGGAATTGTTGGAGAAGGGGTTCATCATACCCAGTGTATCACCTTGGGGTGCACCTATTCTATTTGTGAAAAAGAAAGATGAGGCCATGAGACTTTGTATAGACTATCAGCAGTTGAATCAGGTCAAAGTAAAGAACAAATACCCCCTTCCTAGGATTGACGACCTCTTTGACCAGCTTCAAGGGTTCAAGTATTCTTTAAGATTGATCTTCGGTCGGGCTATCATTAACTACGGGTCAAAGAGGAAGATGTTTCCAAGACCACATTCAGAACCAGATACGACCATTATGAGTTTTTGGGAATGCCTTTTGGGTTGAACAATGCCCTGGCTATTTTTATGGATCTGATGAGTAGAATTTTCAGACCTTATTTGGATATTTTTGTGGTGGTATTTATAGATGATATTTTAGTGTATTCGAAGAACCTAAAAGAGCATGAGCATCATCTAAGAATGGTCCTTCAAACTCTGAAGTCTGAAAATTTGTATACTATGTTGAGTAAGAGTGAGCGTTTGAAGACATTTTTCAGTACCATGGGTCCCCGATGCGGAATAAAAGAGAGAAACTGGTCAATAACGCTTGAAAAACAGTGGGAATTTTGACAGTCTCAGAATAGCCCCAGAACAGGTCAAGATCTTTATAAGGACTCTTAAAAGTCTCCTGCCAAGTTTCGTCACATTTCGATATGTCTAAGGCAGTACGGACTAGAAACAATTTTGATAAAATCAGCCTCTTGCACCCTGAAACGGACCTCTATAACTGGAACCCTACTCTCGAGGCATCAAACAGTCATGGGACTATCGCTATTAGATCTGACATGGTTGAAAACCCTCAGGGGTCAAATTTCAGCAGAAACGGACACTCCAGGAAGAAGTTATGCGTAAAAGACCAAAACAGGAGGAGTCGCACACTATTCTCATGGGGCCACCCTGTAACTAAACTCCATTAAAACACAGTCACAAACAGTGACCTTGAGACATCCATATCTCCACCTTTCAAGATTGGATTGCGCTCAAACTTATTGAAACATGTTCGTCTCGTTGAAACGAGCATTTTGATATGTGGCACATCTCGTGACGATGTCGGAGCAGGGAGAAAAGCTAGAGAGAAGTTTGTGATTTGAAGAAACATGTTGCAGAAAATCAGCAGGACATCCACTCACTCGAGTGACCAAATCATAGTGCCCACCAACCCGTTCGACGCAAGACCAGTTGAATCGCGTGCATAAGGTCCATGACTATCACTAGTCTGAACTCCACAAGTGATGAACGGTCAGATTTTGTACAAGATCAAGTCAAATTCACTGTTGATTCCGGTAATCAGAATTCCAAATTCCGAACAAAAGTTCAAGATTGTCAAATCTTCATTCGAGCACCAAATCGCATCCCGTTTGTTGCAACACGATCGTGGTGATATTCCCAGTTCAATTCAGCGAAGAAATCGAAGAAAAACATCAAAATGAAGACGCACTATCAATCAAAAGTATTCAAGATATATTCAAATTTCAAGTTATGTGATCATGCCTTTAAAGTGTGATTCATGGCTTAAAATTATTATCAAATTGATCGTAGCATCGAGCCCTACACGATGGCAATCATCTTTTGTTCATTCGGAGGCCGGATAGTCAATGGATCGTCCGAGAAGAATCAAGAACATGTCTAGTTCTCTGTAGGGATTATTTTGGAATTTCTTTAATTGTTAGGCAGGGGAAAATCAGTCATTTTACACCTCATTTTCTTATTTTCTTTAATTCAGATAAACCTTAATTATCATCAATTAGGGTTAGTTTTGGGTAATCCACCCACATTTTAGCCTTAGTTTATAAATAAACGCTACCTCTCATTGAAAAGGGGTTCTTAGCTTTTGGACTCACGAAATCATTGTACAAGGATTCAACTCATGATCAATAAAAATTAAGGCTTTCTTGTTGAGTTCTTTTGAGCATGTCTTAGAGAGAGAGAGGAGAGAGAAATTTTAGTGCGGTACCCTTCCCATCTTCAAGGTATTTTCTCTCTCTCCCCTTCTCTCTCTACAATTCTCCTTTTCTCTCTTCTTCTCTTTCTTCTTCTTCATCTGTCTTCTTCTGAGTCTTTCTCAGAGACCATGCATGACAGTGGGAGTGTCGTGCATGCCTCTTACTTTCTTCTCCCTCTTTCTTTTCTCTCTCTATTCTCTCTTTCCCCTCTTGTGGTTTCGTAGGTCGTGCATGGCAATGGCAGTGCCATGTGCGAGCTTCTTTCTCCCTCTCTTCGTTCATCTCTTTTCCTCAACATAGTTCACGCACGGCATTAGTTGTTATTGTGCAAAGTGCCATCTGAAGGAGCACACGTTGAGCCGGGCCACGCTCAAGCTGCGGGTCGAGCTCCTGTTTTGGTTTTAGGATTGGTGTCACACGTGGCGATGCATTGCCGACCATAGACTATCTCTCTTTCTTATCACGTGTCGCAGACGGCGCTGCTCATCACTGTCCACAAGCATGTCTTCAGTGTCCTGCGTACGCGCAGACAATGATGTCTATCGTTGCCCGCGGGGATCTCACTCGCGCTTTGCGTCTATCGTAGGCAGTGATGCCTATTGCTGCCTGCGAGGGTCTTACCGGTGCTTCACACCTATTGCAGACGGTGATACCTATCCTTGCCCCCGAAGGGTCGTGGTGATGCTCACAGCCATTCGCTGGCCTTTTTTTGCGCCATCTGCCTGTCGTAGACGACGATGCCTATCGCTGCCCCGGAAGAGTTGCTGCTGCCTTCCCGTGTCACCAACGGTGATAGCCAACACCGTCTGCAGTTCATTTCTCACCCTTCCACCGCAAGCAGCAGTGTCTAACGCCATTCAGGGGCCATGGCACTGTTCCTGGCTATGGGCGGCAATGCCTAATTCCGCCGTCGTCTCGTGTCTTCTCTTCGTTCTCTTTTCTTATCCTTTTTTCTTCCATTATTGCTTGATTAAAGGACAGACTCAGTCTAGCATTAGCGATCTGGCTGTCGAGCAGTATTGCCGTCATGTCGGTTTAGAGTACCATGCATGTCTTGCTGCCACACCAGATTAGGACGGTCATATCAGCCTTGGTTTCGAGTAGTACTATCGTCGCGTCGGTTTGAGTTACTGTGCCCGTCTTACTATCACTCCATGTCGGTCACTGTACTTGTCTAGCTATCATACCAGTCTCGTTCCCTCGTCAAGTCCTCTTATTGTTTCTAAGCTTATTCAAATCCTCTTCTTCATCACCCTAACTTCTCATCTTCTTTGCCATATGAATGTGCACATCTGTGCATGTTCGCCCTAAGACAAGGTGGGTCCCCCGACCTACTTGTCTTGCAAATTAACCATGTTAGTGCTTTGCAGAAAATAAGGAGATTGCAGGTCAAAGGAGGAGATTCCAAACTAGTTGAAGCAGCTAGGGGGCTTTCCGTCATGATCTAAGAGGGCGCCCGCGAGAGTCAGCCCGAGTGAGTCACAGACCCAGCTGAGGTTGGTCCCCACCTCACAAATAAAATTCCTCTCTCACTAGTTGGGCATCTACCCTTGTTCTGTGAACAAGGATCCCGAGAGAGCGATCTCAGGTCTTGGGTCCTTTGAACCCGAGACACGTGTCACCCTATCAGTCTACTATGGACGAAGTAGGCTCAAATCTCTAAAGCATGAGGGAGTCCGCGAAGCTAAGGCTATTCATCAGCCCAATAGGATGGACCAAACACCTCCCAAGGGATCTAGAAGGAGACGAGCACCTAGGTCAGCTCGCTGAAGGAACCACATTCCTCCTCCACCTGTCGAGGAAGAATTTCTCGAGCCCCTTCCTCAACTGTCGACCTCACAGGACTTCATCCCTGGAGCAACTCGCCTTATCCCTTCGTCCAATCAGATGGAAGTTGCTGAGTCATCAACTGCTCTAGACTCGTCCAATACGGGTGACGACGTTAAAAGCATCTCCCAATGGTCAAAGCCGGGGCAAGACCTAAAATACCCCCTGCACATCTCCAATTCTGGTGACGACGTAAAAAGCTACCCAGGACACTCTAACTCCGATTCTTCTTCTTCTCCTCCCTCTTCCTCTATATCTCTTTCACAGGTGCAGCTTGGCAATGTCTAGACTTCAAAGCTCTAAATATAGAGCTCAAAGGCACCAACATCAACAGGTCGCACTAGAAGTGCCTAAGAAAGATGCCAGCCCAAGTGGCTGGATTCTTAACCGTCATCGATGCCCTGGCAGCCCAAGCCAAGTCCAAGCCATCTTCGAGCTCCTATTCCCATGAGGCCTATAACATGCATGAAGCACCACCCAGCTCGGGGCAAGTACCGAGTGACTCCAGTCACGATGCCATGGACTCCACGTTAAAAGTTTACCCTTTCATTGCCTGCTCTAGCTAGGGACCAGAAATCGTCTCCCACAATGGGACCCTCCTAGAAGTTGAAATGTCAGGATCATGGGTCTTTGCACTCGAGATTGATAAGAAGCATCCTGAATCCCCTGACGAAGAGTTGCAAGAAGCTCCGGAAGAGTGAGAAGAAGGTTGTTTGGCCACAATTGACGAGCTTGAAGAGATAAACTTAGGGGATGAGTCCGACCTAAGGCCAACTTTCATCTCGAGAAAAATGTCCCCAACGGAGAAAGAAAGTTATATTTCCCTCCTCCAAGAAAGTTGGGACGTCTTCGCCTGACATTATCATGAGATGCCCGGTTGAGACCCTCAAATCTCTATCCATCGTCTAGGTATTGACCTATCCATCAAACCCATAAAGCAGAAATCAAGAAGGTTTAGACCCGACCTCGAGATGTAGATCGATGCTGAGGTGAACAAGCTCAAGCAAGCTGGATTCATACGTGAAGTCAAATACCCAAGATGGCTCGCAAATGTTGTCCCAGTCAAGAAGAAAAATGACCAAATCAGGCTATGTATTGACTTTCGTGAGCTGAACACCGCCTGCCCCAAGGACGACTTCCAACTGCCATTCACCGAGATGCTTGTTGATTCCACGGCTCATTGCCAAATCTTCTCCTTCATGGATGGGTATTCTGGTTATAATCAGATCAGAATGGCACTAGAGGATGAAGATGACATTGCATTCTTGACCCCAAAAGGTATCTTTTACTACACTGTGATGCCTTTCGGGTTAAATAATGC